ACAGGTGTAATCGAGCATGCCCTAATGACCCCGTTCTTGACCTGTGAACCATTGACCTATTTCTAAAGATTAGGAACCAACCTTTGTCTGCTGTTATCATGAGAACTTCTAAGCTAAAAATTCTACAGAGTCACTGCGTTCTTTTTCATGAAAAATCAAGACGAAACTAACCTAACTATACGCGTTTTCGCTGTTGAAAGCTGCTTAAGCATAAGTGAAGCCCTTAGCAGCTAACATACCAGTGTGCCGATGGTTTCTTATCAAAAGGAGCTAGTTGAAAGACATCCGGCTTAGACAAATTTCGTTATTACTTAACCACTGACAACATCTGATCACCTTATGACCCATAAAACATTCAAACCTCAAATATATCCTACCAATGGAATTCCAGCTTTGTGAAGCACAGAGAAGTACAATGACCCACAACTTGCTGATACAGTTCTGGGAGGAACGAATTACCGCTTTGTAGCTTAAAATTAGAAATGTGAACCTGGAATAAAACCCAATTGAAAATATTCGATAAGATCAATTAGAACAGATATCTTAGTAAAAGTTCCAATGTGCAAAAACTGCGATTACCTTTGAAAAACAGGAACCTACCGGCTGTGACATCGGCAAAACAAGGGGTTCCTCAACAAATTCACAAAAGAACAAAGTTGGAGTGGATTCATCTACTGGATCATGCTTCCATGCAAGGAAAAGATGAAACAAATGGACGTGAATCAAGGAGGGAAAAACCATGTGGCTGAGAATTAGGACACACATAAAAACGCTACAATGGTAGTCTTATTTTTATGAAGCCACAGTGCTGTTGACGTTTCGACACTCAACCGACTGAAGTGTTCGGTGTTTGACTTCGTGTTGGTTGCTGCTCTCCAACTGCCTGTTGATCAGCTACTGACGACAACTTCGGTGATGGTGTTGCTGAGCTTTTTGGTGGAGGTGGAGCACCACCACCAACACCAGAAGAAGAGGGAATAGATGGAGGAGCGTTAACAGGAGGAGCTTCCAGCATAGGCCCAGCCTCTCCCGACATTGTTCCAACAGGCTGACTTGCATTCTCGTATCTTGGCACGCTAAACTCACTACCAGGAGCAACTGAAAACGGCTGGTGCTGTGGAGGTGGTGGTGGCGGGCCAGGTGGATATCCGTAGGGTGGAAGCGGCCCTGCCTGAAAGCCGATAAATCTTTCCTTTAAAATAACACCTACTTAAATAGCAATAAGCGATAATCCTAAACCAATCGGCCAACTAACTCGGTGCTGCATAAAGTCGCGATCATCGCCGCCTGCTTGGGGCGCCGGCTGCTGCTGTTGTTGAGGCGGCAGTCCATGCTGATGTTGAGGCATCATGGGTGCACCTAAAGTCGTTAGAATATCAGAGGAGGGAACATACCGACAGGTGACATGTAATTTGGTGGCATGGGTTGCCCACGTGATTGAGAAGGGCCAGAGGTGTAAGAGCCATTGGGAGCTGGTTGGAGGGGCATAGTGTGCTCTGGAGGTCCCGCTGAACCCGATGAGAATCCCGGCGGTGGAGGTGGGGGCCCACGTTGTACTGTTGCCCCATTATTCGTTGCTTGATCTGCAATCGTAGCCAAATATATGAGGTTCTTGTGCAACACTTGCAACTCTTGCACCTCGTGATTGTTGTTGCCAGCTTTTTGATGGTTGATTATATTGTGAATAAGATGCACATTGTCATCCAGGATCTAAAGATAAAACAGTGTTAACCTCGATTCTTCATAAAAAATTTGCATGAAACAAAGCAATTTAACGATGTATTCATTTTCCTTTATTCCTCACTTATGCAATCAAAGTAAGATTCAACCAACCCGTAAAACAATGCCCACACCCAAAGGACTGAAACAATTCGCTTCATTCAACAAAGAAAAAAGAATAAAACTAGGTCCTGGTGTGCGAAAGCCGATCATATACAGAAAACATTAGATGCACCTAGGTAGGATTAAGCATCCTAAACTTTTGGTAAATGATCGACCGCAAAATGAGGCACAAGTTGCCTTTAAACAATGCCATTAAAAATCAGTTCATTTAGGAGATCAATAAAATTCCAAGTCGATTCAAAATGTTGGAGAGAAACAATAATACGAAGATGAGGCAAACAAAAGATTTAATAAAAAACTCAGCTGACCTTTTGAATGCTGCTAGTA